CGGTAAGCGCCCGCGGAAAAATAGAACAGAGTTTTTAAGTTTTGAAAGAAAGAGACGGAGAAAAAATTTGCCTAAAAGACTAAAATTACTGAGTAGGACCTATTTTAGCTTGTAATTTTTCTTGGCAAATTAAAATCTAAAATCTCTAGTTTTCCATTTTAAGCATAAAAGTCACTGCATTTGCTTACAATAGTGAAATTGTTATTTTAAGGACTAAGAGTTAAGAAAAGTATTTATCAAGAAACAAAATTATTGGAAAGTCATATCAAAAGAGACGTGATATGATATAAAATCACAGAGCCTCAATTCCAAGCACGAATTACGAGATAGGGCACAGAGATGGAAGCGATATGGATATTGTAAATGTTTAAATTAATTGTACCTGAATTTTATTTAAATTTTATCTATCTGTATCCATTTTTAATTTATTTGGATACTCACACACCAAGATATAATCTAATAATAAATGCATATATAACAAGATAATAGATTCAGATTCGAATTCTCTCTCTCCAGATACTCAAAAAAAATAAGTATGTTTGAGTACTTGGTTAATAATTTCTTAGCTTCCAGTATCTTTTGTTTTCTCCAAATTGCAGGTTCTATTGATACCAGCCCTTGTTTGGTGTTAATGGAAATAATTATAAAATTTATTTATGAACTATATGATTTAGCTTAATTAGATGAACTTTGTAAAATTTAAGTTTTAAAAAATATTTCAGAATTTATTTGAATTAAATGTGGACTTATTATTTAGTCAATTACTATTCTTATCTTGAGTCAATATCATGAGTCGAAAATAATATAAGTATCATCAACAACTTGTTGATCTAAGTAATAAGCCATATGAGAAATAAATTTTTTAAGAAGGTTAGAGTCTATAGTCAATTAATAGGTTGCAGTTTTAAAAAACAAAAAAAAGAAAAGAATTAGTTGTCACTATAAGAAAAACAAAATAGTAGCAAAAATATATTGCTACTAAACAGGTCCGGTTAGTTATAATTAGATCGGATTGGGTTGAGTCAGTAATAAGAATAGTCATATTAATGATATTACTATCAATTTTATTTAATTTCAACTCTATCAATATATAAAAAATTAATAATTAATACTCTAGCTATATTATTACATTAATCTTTCCATATTCCTATCTATTACTTAAAAATCAACCATGGCCGCCGGGACAACTTTCCCTACGGGCAACCTGGGTAGCAGGACTTGTTTTTTCTTCGAAATTATGGGTATAAGGACTTAGTCCACCATCGGGGCAACTTTCCCTAGGTCCACACCCGGATGCTCTCCTCTGCTTACACTATATATGCAATCTCTTGAAATCTAAAATTTCTATTGACAATTTTCTCTGATTCAGTTATCGGAATAATTTTCTCATTTTTTTCTAATTTCGGGATTTTGGAAGAGAGTTAGAATTGTCAGCTATAATCAAGATTACAAATAGCAATTCATCATCAACCTGTTTATACAAGACAACGGCGAGACGGGTGAGTGAGTTTAAATAATTAGGAAGAAAAAAAAATAATAAAAAGATAATACCTCTCCACCAGCATTTTTTGTGGATATTGTTGAATGTTTTGCCTTTGCCGGTATAGGTAGCTTGCGAGCATACCAAGATTAGTATATATAGAGTTAGGCTATAACGACTAAAGAAAAGTCATTCTGGCCAAATATATAAAAATATTTCAGAAGTTTATGCGTTGAAGCGAATCACATATTAAATTTTACAGGTATCTATTGTATTCTTCAAATCATAAATTTATAAAAAATTATTCTATCGAAAACTTTATTTGTAAAATTAAATTGATTAAATATTTATGAAAAAATTAAAAAAAAATATTATAATTATTATTCAAAAATTATACTAACCACGCCTAATGTTTGTGTTTGGTAACAACTTTTCAAGTAATTTTTAGTATTTTTGGCTGGTCAAAACACTAAACACTACTTAAAAAAATGTTCGGTAACATAGCTTTTTAACTAATTTTTAGAGGTTAAAATAATATTTTATGAAAAGTTAACTCATATAACATTTAACTTCTAACGTTTCATGAAAAACTACTAAAACAGCTAACAACTCTACTAGCTAACAACTTTTAACGGTTCGGACCGATTCTAGTTCCGATTTTCACTGGTTCGGATTTCAATTCCGATTCTCACCGGTTCGAAATCGGCGATTCTGGTTCCGAAAATCAGATTTTGGCTATCCCTGAACCCACGCCTTGTTGGTCCAAGTCAACCCTCCAAATATCCATACTTTATTAATTTTTTTTTTTTTTTACAAATTTGACCAAAGAAAGCGCGTAAAAGGCTACGTAAAGAGTGTTTGATTTGATTACATATTTTTAATTTTTAAAACTCAAATCAAAGACAATTTATTTTAAAATATTAAGAAGTTCAATGAATTTAAATTAAGGACAGTTTATATATTACGACCGAGATTTCATATAGAGCATCTGATAAACTAATAATAATATTAACATATATGTGGATCTTATAAATTTTGTATTTTTTTTTTCTCTTTTCGACATTTACTTCTTTTAAATTTCAAAAATTATATTTATATATTTATCTTGTAGCTATTTTAAAAGTGGGTTCTGCGATTATTTATATATTATTGGCTTGCAACTCTATCTAAACATCCTACTTTAAATTATGGTTTCATTTAATTCAGCTGATTAATGAAGCTAATAACTAATTTGTATAAAATAGGTAGATTATAAGTGTTTGATAAGCTTTTCAATCAGCTATCTAATTGCTATTCATTCCATCAGTATGTTTTAGAAATTTTTCTTATCATTTAATATCTTATTTTGCATTTATATTATATTTGAACTTCATTAAACTCACAAAAATAATTACTAATAAAATTATTTTTTTTTTTTTTCAATTAAAATTCGTTTTAATACATTTACTTGTAGTTGTTTTAAAAAATAATTAATTTTCTACTTAAATATAATTTTAAAATGTTTTAAATAATTTTCTATTAAATATAATTTTAAAATGTTTAATATGATTTATATAATACATTCAAATAAAAAATACATTCACCTTAAAAAATTAAAAAAAAATATGTGTTATAGAAAAGCAATTACATGAAAAAATAAAAATTTTGACAAAGTAAATAATAAATAAAACAAATTTCGTACCTTTTTCTTATCTATGCATAGTAAATAGGGTGTCTTACTAATGCTATATATGTCTCCCTATAAATTGTATTCTCCTTTTTCTTTTTTATGGGAACCATCTGATATTCAAAGTCTACTGAGCCGACTTCTCTGTATTTGTGCTAGGGATACTCATGAAGGACATAAAATGGTCCCTATCAAATTTTAAAGGTGCTACATACCTTGTGTTCAACGATTACTAAAATTTTATCAAACACCTTTATCACTAATGAGCCATCAGCCACCAGTTACCATCTAGTATTAACAACTAATGCAAATGAACCCTTAATGCTTATTGTGATAAACTCCTATGCTTTTATAATTCTAAACTAATTCTTCGAATATAATTTATTTATTTAGTAGTGTAGTTAAGAATTTGAATCATTTACATACTGATAAATTGTCAATTAAAATCCAAATTTGTGATTAACAGGAAATTACAAAACCAAAATTATCACCCGGTGAAAACAGTTGGTCAAGGATTAGACAACTGTGAATTTTGGACAGGTCCTGCAGAGAGTTTAACATAAATATTTATTTTTCAAAAAAAAAAAAAAAAAAGAACAAAAAAAAAAAAAAAAGAAGAAACATTTTGATTTAATCCACTGTTACTATGTGATGTGATGAAGTTTTCCCAAACAAAAAGATTTCTCTTCCCCTATACTCAAACGTATTATATATTTTAAATAAAAATAATTATTAAATAAAGCATAAAACATTCTTATTTCGTTAATATTTAGGAAATTTATAATTTTTTTTTTAGAAATAAATCTCAAAAAATTTGAATACAAGCTTCCCTATCTTCTTCTTCTTCTCTCGACTACATAATCAACCACTTCCGGCGGGTCTAGAGATACTAGGGGAGGATTGAGAACTAGAATACACGAGTCCCATTAGCTTCAAACCAAGTCGCAAGTTTTCATCTTTTTTCAACTTTACCATGATGTGTTTTTTTCCCTCTTCATATACCATTTTGCGAGTGCCCCAATATCTAATTTTTTCTTTTCTTCCTTGAGCTTCAACGCTGAATGAGATTGATCCAACAACGATCAAGACTAGGATTAGCAGTTTCATGCTCAAACTGCACAACAAATTGTATAACTTCAATTAATTAGGGAAATAGAACAAAATTATGTCAAACATAACAGCAAAATAAAGCCGATAAATTTGTAGCAAAAAAAAAAAAGAATTACCTCTTCATGATAATTTCTGTATCTATGTTGATGATTTTGCCCTGGTGGTTCGAAAATAACTTGATGAAGGTAGAGGTAATGAAGTCTAGTACTTAAATACTTGGAGTCACATCTTTTCTTCAAAATGCATTTTCAAGGAAAGCAATTACTTAGTACTTAAAAACATCTTTTCTTTGCTTAATTAGTCCAAGTCAATCCTGCAAAGGCCAATCATTTTTGCAATCTTCCACTAATTTCTGTATCAATGTAAATTTTCTCCAATCTCCACAATAATGCTCAATCAACTAAATTAAAATATAGATCGTATTGACTCTGGGTAATTGACTTCCTATTAGATATAATAACAAATTTGATAGCTGGGTAATTGGATTTCCTATTAGATATAATAACAAATTTGATAGTCTCCAACTTGCTAATTGTTCTTTCCTTCCTTCGCTTCAACACTAAATATTGAATTAAACTTCCAACAACAATCATTAACCAACACTACCACTTCTTCTCAAAGCACACAATGAACAGTTAGACTGTTATCTATATATTGTCAGAAAAATAATTTACCCTGATGTGATTGCGAGGAAAATGAAACCTAGCACTTTAAAAAGATTGGAGAAGAGTAAAGAAATGAAACCTAGCACTTAAAAAGACTTGGAGAAGAGTAAAGCCATAGATGTTAAAATAATTTAGTCTGAAAAATTAATATATTTTGCTTTATCAGTCGATGGTACGAAGGACAATCCAACTTTTGGCATGCTTCCACTAATTTCTGAGTGTATATCTGAGTTGGAATGTCACCAATGTAAAATTTTTTTCCACAGTGACGGAAAATTTTCTCCATAAGTGTAGATTTAACTTTAATATCATCATATGTTTTTTTTACTCAAATTACACGGCAATAACGGAAAATTATGACAAAATCAAAGTCCTTCGAATATTTGCTCCATCTACAATTAAACCATTGAACTCACTTAAAGAAGAAAGAGTGTTGAACAATTCATTCTAATACTTATTTATTAACATATGACAAATCAAATATAGTAATTAAGACTGAAAATTGGAAGTATATTAGTATTATCATTATTACTACTGATGGTTTAGCACGAATGAAAAGGTCTAAATCAACTTTGTTATATATATGATAAACACTAAGTCTGATTTGAAAAACAAATTCTACCATCTCTGGAGTAATTTGTTAATTAAAAGAATTATTAGATGCATGTTATACGGTATTTTCTCTACTTTTGTGGGTTGCTTTGCTTGTTATAGCATGCATAATATTTTTCTACTTTTTTCTGACCATTAATTCACAATTTCACATTATGAAAATGAGTACATTATCAGATAATCTAAGTTTCTTACTATGTTTTTCCATGTGGTTTGTAGTCTTATAGCCAAAAAATTTTTTAAAAACTAAATTAGGAAAAAAATGTGACTTGGAGATGCGGGGTATCGAACCCCGTGCTTTTCGCATGCAAAGCGAGCGCTCTACCGTTTGAGCTACATCACCTCTGATTGATTGTTCAATGGAGTATAAATTACTAATAGACTTTGTATTTAACCCAGTTTCTGACCTAAAATGATAATAATAAAAAATTATCAGTTTCTGACCTAAAATGATAATAATAAAAAATTATAATTTGAAAAACGTGTCATTTTGAAACAGTTTCTGACCTAAAATGATAATAATAAAAAATTATAATTTGAAAAACGTGTCATTTTGAAACAAAAGTTTAACAGAGCATTTATCCTTTTTCTTTTTTGAATATTTTTATCCTTATTTTTTAAACAGTGAACAAATTTGTGATTTTCATCCTGCAAGTTCATTCATCAATTGCCTAGTACTCTTATACTTGTTAATGCTATAATTTATAGCTACTGGACAACTTTTTATTTGTACATAGAATAGTAACAAAAAAAAATTTTTGATTTAAGAAAAGATGACTTAATTACCTTCCCATGCATGATCTATGGATGTGCTACTTAATTTGCCTTCAGCTTTTAAGGAAAGTTTTTTTTTTTTAATGTTAATTAGACTTCAAAAGAGATTCATGCTTGCAATTTTACAATTTTTTTAAAAAAAATTTAATATTAAGTTGAAAACTAATTATTGTGTGAAAAAATTGTTTTAACTTTATTATCTTTTTCAATGAACGTTTAGAAATACTCTCGTTTCGAAAAGAAAAAAAATTTATTTTCATTAATCTAATTCGAACATAATGCGCCCTCGACCGGGTATAGATAATTCAACACCTGATACAGTGACCAGATTATTATTAATTGTAAACAAGCCAAACACGTCCTTCAAACACTACCTAATCAACCATGGATACAGTGACCAGAACCTCTAGCAATGTGTGTACATGGGCTTCCACCTGATGGAGGTACTATACCTCTTGGCATTCTCTCTTCAACCATCTTTTCTGAGCTAAAAACCATTTTTTTGTTTTTATACTCTGCAAGTGTTGCATGAAGATTCCCAAATTTCCCTTTCCTTCCATCTTCAAGATCCTTCCCTGCAACTGCAACCTCCAGAGAAAGTGTAATTGATCCAACAACTACGATAAACATCACCAACAGTAGCAACTTCTTCATCAAACTGCACAAACAATATTAAATGACAGGATGGTCTACATAAGAAAATAAAATCAAAAATTGAAAATGTTAAAAATAGAAGCAAAAATTGAAAATGTTAAAAATAGAAGAATTACCTCTCCATGATCATGAAAAATATTGATATTGCTGCTTGCTTTCTTGCTTCCCACAAAGCTTATGAAGATTATACTGAAATATTCACATTATATAGGCATCAATATATAATTTTTTTTATTATTTTTTAGAAAGATCAATAGATTTTTACTGTTGAATAAACAATTTCGAGGAAGCTGCCATTGCCATAAGCAATGTTTCGCTTTTTCATTAGTCAATCCAGCAATGACCTCCACAATTATTGTCATTATTACTATATGACAAATATAGTGGCGGTGCTAAAAATAAAACTTAGAAGGCAAAAATTATTTTTCAAAAATTTAAGGGACCAAATAAAACAAATATTGTTTTTACGTAAATTTAAAAAAAAAAAAAATTGGATTTTTTTAATCATTAAGCACAAATATGAAAATACATTTTCTGAAAAATATGAAATACTCGAAATATATTTTAATCATTTTAAAAATATATTTAGTTTCAATATGTGAAAATTGATCAAAAAATATCCTTGTCTGTTTATATAAAAAAATTGGTTACTCTAAAATTTTTAAAACATGAATTTTTCATATATTATACTTGAATACAGATTAATGATTAATCTAGATTAATAGTATAATATTAAAATTATTATTAGAAATTTTATTGCTGAATCAAACTCTTTCTATTAAATCCAAAAACCAAATTTATCTATTCAAGTATAATTAAAACCTGCATGGAGTTTGTATCGATTTGATTCAATTCGATTTAAACCAAATTCACCGAATAATTAGCCATGCCCATCAAATCTACTGCGACTGGAAAAAGATGAAGACTTTGAGTACATTTAATCATCGGGACATCCTTCTTTGAACCAGCAAGCAGGTTTCTGTATATTCTCCAATTTGTTATCACATGGTTTCCCTCCATATCTTCATTGGCAAAGTTTCTAGTTCTTCCAGAATGTTCATCTTTTATAGGTGCCCGATTCCCAAATTTCTCTTTCTTTCCCTTTTGCCAAACAAATTGTTCAGCTTCAACTTGAAGAGAAAGTGATGAGATCAATCCAATACCAATAAACATCACCATGACTAGCAACTTCATCATCAAATTAAGAGAACTTCATCTTTTCTTTCCTTTTCTTTTTGGCTCTTCTTTTCTAAAGAAGAAGAAGAAGAAGGATCATCAAGAACAAGTATTCAACTCTTGCTTCAACAACTGTACAAGCCACTTAACATTAAAACAAAAAGGAAGGAGAGGATATGAAGTCTGATACTTTTGTTACCTTGCCATTGCTGGTTGCTATTAGTTCAACTTCAAATTATATCTGAGTTTTCTTCTCAGTCCTCCATAAATTCCTTGTTTGGTGACCTCAATTTCTCAGAACAAGCTAACCCAACACGTGCTAAACTATATTTGGTACATTGTAATAGAATCTAATGCAAACAACACTTTTGATTACGGATCCATGTGTTTCTATAAAATAACCTGCAGGAAAATCACTTTCAAATAACTTATTTACCGTTCTTTGGTTGTAATATTGAAAATTAGTTAAAAACATTTCTCTAAGCAATATTTTAGTCGTAATATTTTTAGTTGTTTGGTTGTAATATTTTTCTAAGCATCCCAAACAACGGAAAATTATGATAATTTTCCTGCAAGTTATTTTACGGAAACAAATAGAGCCTACATTACATTATATTTTATATGTCCATTATCGAGTACCAAACAAGCTATTGCTCATTTTCACATGAAGCAGAATATAGGAGTTTGATCAACTGGCAGCAAAAATCATACCATTGATATCATTCTTATGTCTGCACGTAGTTTAGATATGATTCGTAGATATCTCAAAATACTTCATCGAAAGCACGGGGTTGGTGTCCACAAAACATGGGATATAACATTACAAATATGACCAAGAAATAGGGAACTAATGCATTCGACACAGACAATTGCATGCCATATTGACGATCAGAAGAATCTTACCAGTAGTAATTTTGTTTAAAAAATTTTAAAGAAAAATCCATATTGCTTGAACACATCAAACTTCAACGGAAGTTTCGGTAATTTTGTTTAAAAAATTTTAAAGAAAAATCCATATTGCTTGAACACATCAAACTTCAACGGAAGTTTCGAGGGCATATCACAAATATTAGACTCACCACAATGGCTTTTGGAGCTCTATTCTTCTTATCTCTGTATAAGATTTCTGCCACGAAGCAGAACATTTCCTACTGGGAACTTGATTTCCAAAATACACTTATTATCAGCAGCTGCAAATACGTCAAAGCAACAATTTAGTATTAGAGCGCTAAAACTTGCAGATTCTGTTTAAAAAGAAGACTTGAGTAAGCTAAATCATATAAAATTTATTTATGAACTATATGATTTAGCTTAATTAGACGAACTTTGTAAAATTTAAGTTTTTAAAAATATTTCAGAATTTATTTGAATTAAATGTGGACTTATTATTTAGTCAATTACTATTCTTATCTTGAGTCAAAAATAATATCAGTATCATCAACAACTTGTTGATCTAAGTAACAACTTGTTGCATCTTAAGTAATAACAATCATGAGAATAAATTTTTTAACGGAGGTTAGAGTCTATAGTCCAATTAATACGGTTGCAGTCTTAAAAAACAAAGAAGAAAAGGAATTAGTTTGTAGCATTTCCACTTGAGAAAAACAAAATAGTAGCAAAAAAATAATTGGCCGTACAAGTTAGTTTATAATTAGATCGGATCTGGTTGAGTCAAGTAAATAAGGAATAGTTTATATTAATGATAATACTAGTCAATTATTTTATTTTCAACTCCTATCAATCATAAAAAGATTAATATTAATAAGTCTAGCGCGCTATTATTACATTATCTTTCCATATTCCTATCTATTTACTTAAACAATCAACCATTGGCCGCCGGGACAACTTTCCTTACGGGCAACCTGGGTAGCAGGACTGTTTCTTTCGAAATTATGGGTATAAGGGATTAGTTCCACCATCGGGGGCACTTCTACCGAGGAAACATGGGTTTTATATTAAAAAAATCAACCATGGCCGCCGGGACAACTTTCCCTACGGGCAACCTGGGTAGCAGGACTTGTTTTTTCTTCGAAATTATGGGTATAAGGACTTAGTCCACCATCGGGGCAACTTTCCCTACCGGGAACATGGGTATAAGGACTTGGTCCACCACCGGAACGCTCTCCTTTTTGCTTCACTACTATATGCATCTTTTTGAATCTAAAATTTCTATTGAGCTCTAATTCAGTTATCGGAATAATTTTCTCATTTTTTCTATTTTCGGGATCAATTTGAAGAGAGTATGAGATTGATCCAGCTATAATCAAGATTATAAATAGTAGCTTCATCATCAACCTGTTTAATACATGCGAGCAGGGGTGAGTGAATTTCAAATATTACGAAGGAGAAAAAAAAATAATTTGTTGTTAATTAATAATAAAAAGATAATACCTCTCCACCAGCAATTTTTGTGGATATTGGTGAATGTTTTGCCTTTGCCAGTATGGGTAGCTTGCGAGCATACCCAGATTAGTATATATAGAGTTAGGCTATAACGAATAAAGAAAAGTCATTGCGGCCAAATATATAAAAATATTTCAGAAGTTTACGCGTTGAAGCGAATCACATATTAAATTTTACAGGTATCTATTGTATTCTTCAAATCATAAATTTATATAAAATTATTCTATCGAAAACTTTATTGTTAAAATTAAATCGATTAAATATTTATGAAAAAACTAAAAAATATTATAATTATTATTTCAAAAATTATATTAACCACGCGTAATGTTTGTGTTCGGTAACAACTTTTCAAGTAATTTTTAATATTTTTGGCTGGTCAAAACAATAAACACTACTTAAAAAAATGTTCGGTAACATAGCTTTTTAACTAATTTTTAGAAGTTAAAATAATATTTTGTGAAAAGTTAACTCATATAACATTTAACTTCTAACGTTTCATGAAAAGCTACTAAAACAGCTAACAACTCTACTAGCTAACAACTTTTAACGGTTCGGACCGATTCTAGTTCCGATTTTCACCAGTTCGGATTTCGATTCCGATTCTCACCGGTTCAAAATCGACGATTCTGATTCCGAAAACCAGATTTTGGCTACCTCTAAACCCACGTCTTGTTGGTCCAAGTCAACCCTCCAAATATCCATACTTTATGTTTTTTTTTTTTTTTTTTACAAATTTGACCAAAGAAAGCGCGGAAAAGGCTACGTAAAGAGTGTTTGATTTGATTACTTATTTTTAATTTTTAAAACTCAAATCAAAGACAATTTATTTTAAAATATTAAGAAGTTCAATGAATTTAAATTAAGGACAGTTTATATATTAGGACCGAGATTTCATATAGAGCATCTTGCCTCAATGATAAACTAATAATAAATATATAAATATATAAGTGGATCTTATAAATTTTGTATTTTTTTTTTCTCTTTTGGACATTTACTTCTTTTAAATTTCAAAAATTATATTTATATATTTATCTTGTAGCTATTTTTTAAAAGTTATTTATATATTTATCTTGTAGCTATTTTTTAAAAGTGGGTTCTGCGATTATTTATATATTATTGGCTTGCAACTCTATCTAAACATCCTACTTGAAATTATGGTTTCATTTAGCTCAGCCGATTAATGTAGCTAATAGCTGATTTGTATAAAATAGGTAGATTATAAGTGTTTGATAAACTTTTCAATCAGCTATCAACTGCTATTCATTCCATCAGTTATGTTTTAGTTAGGTTTTAGAAATTTTTCTTATCATTTAATATCTTATTTTGCATTTATATTATATTTGAACTTCATTAAACTCACAAAAATAATTACTAATAAAATTATTTTTTTTAAATTAATATCTTTTAATCATTTTACTTGTAGTTGTTTTAAAAAATAATAATTTTCTATTAAATATAATTTTAAAAATTGGATTATTATTATATATACATTCAAATAAAATACATTCACCTTAAAAATTTTAAAAAAAATATGTGCTTATAGAAAAGCAATTACATGAAAAAAAAAAAAAATAAAAATATATAAAAGCAATTACATGAAAAAATAAAAATTTTGACAAAGTAAATAATAAATAAAACAAATTTCATACCCTTTTCCTATCTATGCATAGTAAATAGGGTGTCTTGCTAATGCTATATATGTCTCCCTATAAATTGTAATCTCCTTTTTCTTTTTTATGGGAACCATCGGATATTCGAAGTCTATTGAGTCGACTTCTTTGTATTTGTGCCAGGGATACCTATGAAGGACGTAAAATGGTCCCTATCAAATTTTAAAGGTGCTATATACCTTGTGTTCAACAATTACTAAAATTTTATCAAACACCTTTATTTGTAATGAGCCATCAGCCACCCGTTATTATCTAGTATTAACAACTAAAGCAAATGAATCCTTAATGCTTATTGAGATAAACTCCTATGCTTTTATAATTCTAAACTAATTGTTCGAATATAATTTATTTATTTAGTAGTGTAGTTAAGAATTTGAATCATTTACATACTGATAAAATGTCAATTAAAATCCAAATTTGTGATTAACAGGAAATTACAAAACCATAATTATCACCCGGTGAAAACAGTTGGTCAAGGATTACCAACTGTGAATTTTGGACAGGTCCTGCAGAGAGTTTTACATAAATCTTTATTTTTCAAAAAAAAAAAAAAAAGGAAACATTTTGATTTAAATCTACTGTTATTATGTGACGTGATGAGTTTTCCCAAAACAAAAAGATTTCCTCTTTCCCTTATAATACTCAAACACCTATACTCAAACATATTATATATTTTAAACAAAAATAATTATTAAATAAAGCATAAAACATTCTTATTTCATTAATATTTAGGAAATTTATAATTTTTTTTGAGAAATAAATCTCAAAAAATTTGAATACAAGCTTCCCTATCTTCTTCTTCTTCTTCTTCTTCTTGTTCTCTCGAATACATAATCAACCATGTCCGCCGGGTATAGAGATACTAACGGAGGCACCAGATTTAGCACGCACAAGTCTCTTTGGCCTCAAACCAAGTAGCAAGTTTTCATCTTTTTTCAACTTTACCATGATGTGTTTTTTTCCCTCTTCATATAGCATTCTGCTAGTGCCCCAATAGCTAATTTTTTCTTTTCTTCCTTGAGCTTCAACGCAGAATGAGATTGATCCAACAACAATCAAGACTAGGATTACCAGCTTCATGTTCAAACTGAACTGCACAACAAATTGTATAACTTCAATTCATTAGGGAAATAGAACAAAATTATGTCAAACATAACAGCAAAATAAAGCAGATAAATTTGCAGCAAAGAAAATAAGAAATACCTCTTCATGATAATTTCTGTATCTATGTTGATGCTTTTGCCTTGGTGGTTTTAAAATAACTTGATGAAGGTAGAGGTGATGAAGTCTAGTGCTTAAATACTTGGAGTGACATCTTTTCTTCAAAATGCATTTTCAAGGAAAGTAACTACTTAGTACTAAAAAACATTTTTTCTTTGCTTGATTAGTCTAAGTCAATCCTGAAGGCCAATCATTTTTGCAATCTTCCACTAATTCCTGTATCAATGTAAATTTCCTCCAGTCTCCACAATAATGCTCAATCAACTAAATTAAAATATAGATCGTATTGACTCTGGGTGATTGACTTCCTATTACATATAATAACAAATTTGATAGTCCTCCAACTGCTAATTTGTTCTTTCCTTCCTTCAGCTTCAACACTAAATATGATTAATCCAACAACAATCATCACCAACACTAGCAACTTCATTCTCAAACTGCACAACAATGAACAGTTAAGACTGTATCTATATATTGTCAGAAAAATAATTTACCCTGATGTGAATTGCGAGGAAATGAAACCTAGCACTTAAAAAGACTTGGAGAAGAGTAAAGCCATAGATGTTAAAAAATGAAACCTAGCACTTAAAAAGACTTGGAGAAGAGTAAAGCCATAGATGTTAAAATAATTTAGTCTGAAAAATTAATATATTTTGCTTTATCAGTCGATGGTACGAAGGACAATCCAAATTTTGGCATGCTTCCACTAATTTCTGAGTGTATATCTGAGTTGGAATATTGTCACCAATGTAAAATTTTTTCCACAATGACGGAAAATTTTCTCCATAAGTGTAGATTTAACTTTAATATCATCATATGTATGTTTTTTTACTCAAATTACACGGCAATAACGAAAAATTATGTCAAAATCAAAGTCCTTCGAATATTTGATCCTAATACTTAAAAATAAAAAGTGTTGTACTATTCATCCTAATACTTGTTTATTAACATATGACAAATCAAATATAGTAATTAAGACCGAAAGTTGGAAGTATGTTAGTATTATCATTATTACTACCGATGGTTTAGCATGAATGAAAAGGTCTAAATCAACTTTGTTATATAAATGATAAACACTAAGTCTGATTTGAAAAAAATTCATGAAAACAATTCTACACTCTTCGGCAGATAATTTGTTAATTAAAGATTGTATTAGATGCATGTTTACGGATATCTCTTCCTATTATGGGTTGGACTGTATATAGCTATGACATTAATAATATTATAATCTCCTTTTATGGACAATCCTAATTTGCTTGTTATAGCATGCATAATATTTTTCTCCTTTTTTCTGACCATTAATTCACAATTTCACATTATGAAAATTAGTACATTATCAGATAATCTAAGTTTCTTACTATGTTTTTCCATGTCGTTTGTAGTCTTATAGCCAAAAAATTTTTTAAAAACTAAATTAGCAAAAAAATGTGACTTAGAGATGCAGGTAATCCAAAAAATTTTTTAAAAACTAAACTAAATTGTTCAGCTTCAACTTGAAGAGAAAATGATCAGATCAATCCAATACCAATAACATCACTATGACTAGCAACTTCATCATCAAATTAAGAGAACTTCATCTTTTCTTTCCTTTTCTTTTTTGCTCTTCTTTTCTAAAGAAGAAGAAGAAGAAGAAGAAACATCAAGAACAAGTATTCAACTCTTGCTTCAAGAACTGTACAAGCCACTTAACATTAAAACAAAAAGGAAGGAGAGGATATGAAGTCTAATACTTTTGTTTACCTTGCCATTGCTGGTTGCTATTAGTTCAACTTCAAATTATATCTGAGTTTTCTTCTCAGTCCTCCATAAATTCCTTGTTTGGTGTCCTCTCAATTTCTCGGAACACTCAGTCCTCCATAAATTCCTTGTTTGGTGTCCTCTCAATTTCTCGGAACAAGCTAACCCAACACATGCTAAACTATATTTGGTACATTGTAATAGAATCTAATGCAAACAACACTTTTGATTATGGCTCCATATGTTTCCATAAAATAACTTGCTGAAAATAATTTTTCAAATAACTTATTTACCGTTGTTTAGTTGTACTATTGAAAATTAGTTAAAAATATTTTCCCAAGCAATATTTTGGTTGCAATATTTTCTGTTGTTTGGTTGTAATATTTTCCTAAGCACCCCAAATAACAGAAAATTGTGGAAAATATTTTCCTGCAAGTTATTTTACAGAAACAAACGGAGCCTACATTACATTATATCCTATATGTCCATTATCGAGTACCAAACAAGCTATTGCTCATTTTCACATGAAGCACAATGCAGAAGTTTGATCAACTGGCAGCAAAAATCATACCATGGATATCACTCTTATGTCTGCACGTAGTTTAGATATGATTCAGTAGATATCTCAAAATACTTCATCGAAAGCATGGGGTTGGTGCCCACAAAAACATGGGATATAACATTACAAATATGACCAAGAAATAGGGAACTAATGCATTCGACACAGACAATTGCATGCCATATTGACGATCAGAAGAATCTTACCAGTAGTAATTTTGTTTAAAAAATTGTAAAGAAAAACCCATATTGCTTAAACACATCAAACTTCAACGGAAGTTTCGAGGGCATATCACAAATATTAGACTCACCACAATAGCTTTTGGAGCTCTATTCTTCTTATCTCTGTATAAGATTTCTGCCACGAAGCAGAACATTTCCTACTGGGAACTGGATTTCCAAAATACACTTATTATCAGCAGCGAAAAAACCACAATATTGCTTTAAACAACATTCAAACTTCAACGAAGTTCGGAGGGCATATCAACAAATATTTAGACTCACCACAATAAGTCTTTGGGAGGAGCTCTATTCTTCATTATCTACTTGGTATAAGATTTCTGCCACGAAGCAGAACATTTCCTACTGGGAAAACTGAGATTTCCAAAAATACAACTTATTATCCAGCAGACTGCAAATACGTCAAAGCAACAATTTACTATATAGAGCGCGAAAAACTTGCAAGATTCGTTTTAAAAAGAAGATGAGTAAGCTTTTCAGTTTTTTTATTATTCAATAATTTATGCTTATTGATCTTTTTTTTTTTTATTTCCTTTTAATTATTATGTCTAATCTCTAATCTTCTTAGTACTATGCTTTAATTTTCATGAAAGTTTATAACTTTTATATATTCATTCTTTTGTGATTTTGTTATTATACATTCATGGTGTTTGTTTCTCCTCTAGCTTCTTATTTTGTATGATATTAATTACTTTTTTTTTTATTTTATTATTTTATTTTCAGGTCATATTTATCTTATATTATTTGTCTAATTGATTTGAATATGTCTTTCAATTTTATTTTTTTTTTTATTTCCTTTCCTATATATATTTTCCTCTTAGTCATTAGTTTATTTCTTTCTCATGTTTATTTCGCTCAAAATTGCTGCACATGCTTTTCAAGCTGTGCATATCTTCTTGTATTTCACTCTCTTCTTAATATCTCAATTCTCTGTGTTTGTATTGAGTATTTTTGAGTATATTATATCTTTAAATGATTATTGCATTATTTTTTGCTTGTATATTATCTTTCTTGGACTTTAGATTATTTTTTTTTTTCATTCCCATTCTCTTACATGATTTATCTATTTTTTATTTTATTTTGTGTCTATATTTTCGTTTTACAGTTTATATTTTTTTGGTATTTATTCCTTCATTATAAATGAAGTGATTAATTTCCTCTCTCTATTATTTTTTGTTTTTCTTCTTAGTTGTATCATCTCGTGATGTTTATTATTGATAAATATTTCATTTTGATTTCAATCATCTGATAATGAGAATGATAGAACAAAGCGCAGATGAATAGCAAAGCCAGATTGCTAATTTGCAGCCCATCAACTACTTGAATCATCAATAGCAATATCTCAACTCTTTATCCATTGATAAATCTGATTTAAGGTGAAAAATTACAATATCACCTCAATATCAAATTTCCCACAGTAGTCAATACGAAGAACACAGGGTGTTGCAAAATTAACTTTTCACAGCAAAGATAATAGGGGAAAAAAAAAAAAGAAAATATGGGAAAAATATGCATACACATTTGTTTGATAATCAGATCAATAAAGATCATAAATTTAAATTCAACAAATTTTCAAGAATAGTGACCGCAATCCACCATTACAATTCAAAACCAAAAATTGAAATTCCCACAGTAGTCAATACGAAGAACACAGAGTGTTACAAAATTAACTTTTCACAGCAAAGATAATAGGGGAAAAAAAAAAAAAAAGAAAATATGGGAAAAATATGCATACACATTTGTTTGATAATCAGATCAATAAAGATCATAAAGAATTTAAATTCAACAAATTTTCAAGAATAGTGACCACAATCCACCATTACAATTCAAAACCAAAAATTGAAAATAAGAAACAATCAAAATACCACCTCTGTACAACCCCATCAAAATTTTATCCTAAAAAAGGAAACTGACAATTGAAAATACAAAATATATATATAAAAAAAAGATAAAACCTTTGACCAAGTGGCTAAGCATGCACAGGACCTGGAGTCACCAACTCCGTGCTACTCGGCGGATTATACGATGGCGGCGGAGCTCCAGTTATAGCCGGCGCGACTGGCGGAGGCGGAGACAACAATAATATCGGTTCTGGCGCTGGGGGCGGCGGAGGAATAATGAGATTAGAATCAGGCGGAGGAGGAGAACTAAATTGCGGTGGGCTTGGATTGCTTGGTTGGTTAGGTCCAGAATCCGGCGGACTTGGTTGGTTAGTTCCAGAATCCGGCGGACTAGGCGGATTTCCAGCTGGCACAGCGTTAGGACTAGACGGCGATGGGTTAAGAGAAGGATTTGGATTAGGGAAAGTAAAGGGCGGCGAAGAATGGCAAGAATCGCCAGAACAGTGATGAGCTTTTTTGAGACCATGGCGTAAAAGCCCAAATCCCAAAGTAAGACCAAGAACAACAAGAACTGTCACAATGAAAATAAATATCTTTGTTGCTTTCCCTACATAACACATTTTCTTTTCTACAGTTTTCTGTCTGAGCTATTTTGTACTAAAAGGTCTCAACTTCAGTTTCAACTGACCAAAATCTGAAATGGGTCTGGTACAAATGGGTGGCTTTGGAATATTTTCAAGGAAGAAGACGATAGTTGGTAAGAGAAGTAATAGTAGTAGAGTAGTAGAGGTAGTACATTTGGTGGGGATGGGAGCTTTTTGTTGTCTGTATATGAAATAGTTAGTATGATCACGTGAAGGCCAACTGAGAAAAGGAAATATACAAAAAAAGTTGTACTAAATGCTGTCTTCTGTTTGCTCTGTTCTGCTAAATTAATATTATTAGAAGGTTATTCTATGTTTTGATGGAGTGTTTGATGCCAGTATAATGGGTATTTGATTTGCCACTTTTATGTTCGAAACAAATAAGAATTGAAAGTTCCAGAAATGGAGGTGCCTTCCCATGGCCATGAGACACTAAAATTGAGTAGCCAATGTGAAAGCTTTTGAATTGTCATGAATTATACAATTGAGATATTGTCATTTGTTTTATTTTGTTTGTTTGTTTTTCTTAAAAACAATTTGATATTGACAGTATCATATTTCATTTTCAGTAACCATAGTTTTCATTCATGATTTATTTTGCTTTTGTATAATTATGAAATTTTTACATTATGTTTTCCACTTAAAAATCTAGGAATTTGAAAGTGACCATGGAAAAATAATACTCTTCCATTGAAAAAAAATATTCTAGTTTCTATTTTTACACAGATCAAGAAATATAATTAAAGGACAATTTTATTTATATAACTTTTATATTATGTCTATCTTAAATAACACATGAGTAATTGTTATATTAGAATAATAATTAAAAATTAAATAAGGGTTATTGAAAATAAATTAAAATTTAGTAAGCGTATAGTAAATAATTTAAGAATTAATTATAATATAAAAAAAATGGATTATATTTTGAAACAAATAAAAAGGAAAAATGATCTATCTACGATAATAATTATAATTATTATTATTGTTATTATTGTTTTGTCAAATTCAAAATAAAGAATCAAACAAAAAAAAATTTTTTTGCTCAAATTAATGATTGAATTTGATTTTATTTATTATACTAAATCATAACCGGTCCTTTCTAACTTTTGTGCAATTGAGCATAAATTGTCAAATAGAAAGCTGAGGTGGAAAAGTGAAAAAAAAAAAAAAAAAAAGTTTTCCACTTAAAAAATCTAGGAATCTTGAAAATAGTTGACCATTGGAAAAATTATATATACTTCTTTCTCATTGTATATTAATATATTATAATTTATTTTCTTTTGTTTTTTTTTTTTTTTTTTCAGTTTCTATTTTTTTACACAGTTATTCAAGTTATTTTAATTATTTATATTTTTATAAGGTACTATATTTTTTTATTTTTTTTTTATTTTATATATTTTCTTTTTTTTATATTTATGTCTATCTTAAATTATACATCTTATTTATGTATGTATAATTTGTTTTATATTAGAATTATTATTTATTTTAATAAATTTTATAATATAGTGTTGTTATTTGATAATTTTATAATTTTTAATTATTTTTTTATTGTGTAATAGCTGTTTTCTATTTAGTAACTATAATTTTATTAGTATTTTTATATTTTTTATTTAAATATTAAAAAAATATGGTTATTATTTTTTTTGTAAATCATATTAAAAAGTGCACCACCACCACCAATGATTTTCTTATTCTACGTATTAATAATTTTTTATTTTATTTTATTATATTTTTTATTTTGTTTTATTTTTTTATTTGTTTGTTCTAAAAATTCAAACACGAAACCGAACTCAAACAAAACAATATTATATTTTTGTCTCAATATTTTTAATGATTTTTGATATTTTTGTATTTTTTTATATTATTTACTAAATCATATACCTTGTGTTCTCTTTTTTTCTATACTTTCTTGTTGCAATTTTGAGTCTATTATTTTATATGTTGTTCATTAATTTTAGAATTATGTTCTGATGGTGTTGTGATATTTATAGTTGTAAAGTAATAAAAAATATTTTATATTTTAATATTTTATTAATTATTATTTTAATTATTTTTCCCATTTGTGTTTTGTCTCTTAGATCTTTTTTTGTTCCTCTTTTTCTTTCCTTTTTAATCAATATATCTATCCCTCCTCCATTGAATGATAATTAGGTGCCAATTCAATCTTGTTATTGTTTTTTTTAGAACAAAGAACAACTTCCAGCAGAGAACTTGTCATAGGAAAGTGTGAAAATTCTCTTGGGCGCCAGCCTGGCTCAAAGATTTTGCGTCTAATGAACCAATAATTTAAGATAATTTTGGGGCCTGGCCCCAGGATATTATTTATTTACTTTTTTATTTTATGGTTTTAAATATAATTGTTTTTTTTATGATTTTTATAGTTTTAATATATTTAAATATTAAAATTTTAAAATATTGATTTTCTCATTTTCCTTTTAAAAAAAAAAAAAAAAAAAAATTCCCATGTGCTCTAGACCTTTGTCCCTCTTCCCAATCAATATATTATCCCTTCCTCCCATTGATGATAATTAGGCCAATCAATCTGAGTAGAACAAGAACAACTCCAGCAGAGACTTGTCATAGGAAAGTGAAATTCTCTTGGGCCAAGCCTGGCTCAAAGGATTGGTCATGAACAATATTTAAGATATTTGGGCCTGGCCCAGATTTTATTATTTTCTTATTTTATTTAAAAAATTGTTTAGATTTAAGTTTAATATAAAAATAAAACTAAAATAGATTCTCATTTCCTTTTTTCCTCCTTACAACTTCCTGAAATCCAAGCTGCCACCAGGTAAGGAAATTTGAAAAGTAATTCATAGATGAATTAGCATATTGTCAAAGGTTAATCACAAGTATTGACTATTTAGCTAAGAGAGGTAATTTTCCAAATTAATAGCAAGTTGGAAGGTAAAATGGCAGGAAACACATTTTGATTTGATTTTTCTAAAAAAAATAAAAATAAACAGAAATTAATATATCTTGCATGAAATATACATTACAGTAGTCATTAATTAATAGAAACACAGCCAATTTGAACCTAACTTGCAAGAAAATACAAAATAAGAGCATACTTTTGTACCCTATTTTTCACAAGAACAGAAAAAACACAAACCTAATTTTTTCTGTTCATTCCTTACGAAGGAACAAAAACCAATCAAGAATCATACGTAGCAAAAACCAACAATCTCAGTTGCAATTCAAGAACTGAAGTAAAAGAAAAATTTTTTTAAAGAAAAGGAAGTTAAATTAGCAACAAATAGGGCAGTGTATCAATCCATTCTCATTACACTCACCACATTTAACCATCTTCTTTTGCTCCACGTCCAAGACTTTGCAACTTCCGTTACACTCCATGCACATTACAAACCTAACTCCTCCACACCCTTCACATTCGTCGGCAAGTTGTTTAAGAATCCCATGAAATAAAATCTCTAATTTCCCTTCATCTAACTTCACCACTTGATCAGCACCACCAATCAATCTTCCTTTAACAAACACAAGTGGAACTTTCACTTCTTTTTTACCCATTAGCCCTCTTAGCTCCTCCTTAAAACCCGAATCCATTGAAATATCTCTCTCAACAAGATGAATATGATGTGATTCAATAATTGACCTTACAATGTTACAATCCTCAAAAGTTTTTTGCCATTGGAAAGTGACTCTCTGTCAACAAGATGAATCCATGATGTGATTTCAATAATTGACCTCTACAATGTTACAATCTCTCAAAGTTTTTCTAATTCCTCTCGCAGTGTAGTTGTGTTAAATCACAAACTGCATTGTCCCTCCAGGCGGAGCATTTTTCTCAGAAAAGGTATTAAGAATGGACTTTTATTCTCTATTTATTCTTTTGATACATTTTCTTTTCTAAAGTTATGAGTTATTTTTTTGTTTGTGTGTGTTTGTACTATTATTATGTGATTCTTTAATTTTTGTCTCCTTCTTCTTTTCAGTATTTCTTTTTTTTATACTCTCAATCTTCCTTTAACAAACACAAGTGGAACTTTCACTTCTTTTTTACCCATTAGCCCTCTTAGCTCCTCCTTAAAACCCGAATCCATTGAAATATCTCTCTCAACAAGATGAATATGATGTGATTCAATAATTGACCTTACAATGTTACAATCCTCAAAAGTTTTTCTAATTCCTCGCAGTGTAGTTGTGTAAATCACAACTGCATTGTCCCCTCCAGGCGGGCATTTTTTCTCAAAAGTATTAAGAATGGACTCCAATTCTTTGACATTCTTTAAAGTTAGAGATTTTGGTGTTTGACAAATGATTCTTTTAATTTGCCCTTCTTCTTCAGTTAACTCTTTTTCATATAATGCAACAAGTTCTGGATCAAATAAAGGGCTAAAACTTCTCCTCCTAGAAGTAACCTCAGAATTATCAATACTTGGACTCTCTTTTACTGGATAACTCAATTTTAGGACTGCCTTACTTGATTTAAGTGTAGAATTGTTAGATTTAAAAACTGGTCTTGGACTAAAATCTGAAATTTTCCTTACCTTATTTTCTTTCCCACCAAATGTCTTGGCTTTTCTTGGCGACCCAATCTGATTCAAGAACTTCAATGGACTTCTGGCCTCCATATCAGCAAACCCACGAAGCAAAACCCTAGTTTTAGGGCTTTTCTTGGAATGGTTGGAAATGGGTATTCCTCCTCCTTCTTCAAGATCTTCCATGAGTTCCCAAGTATTTATGACCTCTGGTTCTTCTTTAACCGGTGACCTCTGCTGCATTTTCTTGCTCTCTGTCACTATTTCTTTAATGGGTTCTTCTTCTTCTTCTTGATGTTGTTGTTGCCGTTTTTCGTTGCTCTCAAGTTTTAGCGCACCGTAGGTAGTGGAAGTAAGAGAGACCACGTGGTTAACACATTTTCCGCCTCCGCCGCCATTGTTGACGATGATGTTATCTTCTTTAAGTTCTTTCCTAAAATGTTTGGAAGAAACACAGCCCATTAGATTGACTGATTTGTGGGGTTTGCTTACTCTGTTTCTTTCCCCTGTTTCTCTCTCTCCTGCAGTTTTTTGGATGGGCTTATAGTTTTCAAGAGAGAAAGGTGGAAGTGTGGGAGTGGGGAGTTTGTGGATTTTTTTTTTTTTTTTTTTGTGGATTTTTTTTTTTTTTTTTTGAAACGTTTAACCGTAACCCTGTCTTGACAACCCGGGCCCCCACCACCCGCCGCCTCGCAATCTTTTCCGAACCATCGTCTTTGCCCCTCTTCGTCAAGTAAAGCCCTTGGGAATTTAAGTTATTTGTTAAAGTCTTCACCCTATCTTTCTTTTTCCTTATTTTAGTTTTTTATTTATTTTGGCGCTCTCGTCTCTTTTTTCTATTTATTTTTAGCTTTTGTATCTTTTTTTGTGCATCTTCCTACTTTGTTTTGTATATTTTTTACTTTTATTGGTGTTGTTTTTCTTATTTCTTTTCTTTTATTTTAGTGTATTATTTTAATTTTGGTATCTGTTATTAATCTCATTTTAAATTATAATTTAATTAATTATTGATTTTGGTTTTTTTTTTATTTTTTTTTTTTTTGTCTTTTTTATTTATTTATTTATTTTACACTGCCATATAATTATTTTAATTTATTTGTATTTTTCTGTACATATTTGTTAAGTATTAACTTAGTGATTTATTGATAATTCTAGTTTATTTTTAATTATATATTTCATTATTATTAATTTTTTTCAATTTTATATTATTTATATAAATTATTTCTTATTTTTTCTTTTTTTTTCATTAGTCTTTTATTTTTGTTTTTGTTATTATATTGTGTCTCTATTAATATATAATTATATTTTTTAATTTTAATATTATTTTTTATTTAATTAATATATTAAGTAATATATATTTTATATAGGTCTTTATTTATTTGTGGATATATTTATTTTTTTTTCTTTTTAACCTATTCGTGATTTCTTTCAATTCTTTAGGGATAATATCTTTTATTTTTAATAAAAAATATAATACTAATATATTTTTTTTTTTTTTTTTTTTTTGAACGTTTAACCGTTACCCTGTCTACAACGGGCCCCAACGGTCGAATTTTTCGAACATGTTTTGCTGTTTTGTAGTAAAGCCCTTGGGAATTTAAGTTATTTGTTAAAGTTCACCCCACTTTCTTTCCTATATTTTATATTTGGCCCCGCCTTTTCTATATAGCTTGTACTTTGCACCCTACTGGTTTGATATTTTTACATGGTTGCTTCATTCTTTCTTTATTAGGTAAAAGGTACGTATAATCCTCATAAATAAAAAAAAGTGATGTGTCTATATATATACACTGCAAAATTATTAATTTATGTATTTTGACATGTAATAAATTAGTGATTTATGATAATTCAGTATGAATAACATAATATTTTTCAAATAAAATAAAATGTTTATTATACTATTGTTGTATAATGGCTCATTTAAAAAATAAAATGTAAATATTATAATAATAAATAAGAAAAATAAAGGCTTAATTATTTGTGAAAATTTCTAACCTATCGTGATTTTCCAATTTTAGGATAATCTTTTATTTTTAATAAAAAAAATACAAAATTTAATAAAATAAGTCAATTTAAATTGAAATTTTTAATATAAATTATTTTTTTAAAAATGAAAATTGAAACTTAATATAGCATCAACTTTAACTATAAATTCTCCCCTTATTATCTCTTTTTGCATAAACACTTATAAAATGAAAATAGGATATGTAGAATATGATTTTTCAAGATTACTCCCTTAGTCCTTAACTCTTGACTGGTAGCAAATCAAGAAGAAGAAAGAAGGGATCCTAATAACGGCTCATGAAATTCTTATTTTTTACTACTATCCTAAACATTTAACGACTTGTCGGTTAAAATTATATTCTCATAAATATAACGACACAACAACGGTACGTAAGCTACGTGTTGTTCAATCGATGAGAAAAATGAACAATGTAATGTCGTTTCAAAATAAAAAGGAGAATGGTTATGTTCTTTTTCATCTTCTCTGGTCTTCATGAACATCTTTTATGGCAGTTGGCACCAGTTATATAATTCATTAGAGAGCAGAAATCATTCATACCTGGATCATCATGTCGAAAATACATTACGATCCAAATTTCTAAAATTCAATGAGAACCAACAAGGATATCTATAATTCCAACGAAATGGAGATTGAAGAAGACATGCGCATGTCCAAGGAACATGCAAAAGATGCTCCTAGTTACAGCTGGTAGCAGCCATTCCTCTGAATAGTTTTACACTAAGATTTAACTTTCTGGAAGATGAGCAATCTTGGGCCAATCCTCGGCTGTGTTATTATTGCATCTTCTTGGTAGCTGGGGACATCAGATGATAAACAGACATTGTAATGCAGTGAGGTTGCTCATCACTCTGGTAAAGAAATTAAACTACGACGCCTCTCGATATTGAGACTTTACAGAGTGGCAACTTGCAAGATGTATTCATACATAAAAACTTACATAATTCCTTCTTCCGAGTATTTTTAATGTAGAAGCAAAATGCAGTACAAGAAAAAATAGTCAACAATTACGAATAATCAGAAAAGGAAAATACTGAGTGATATAAAATAAATTCATTTTGCAACTATTGAGAGTTAATTAACTCAATTAGTACATTTACAGTGCTCGAATTTGCTGAACAACATATTTAAACAACACAAATCAAGATGATTCCAATGAGAAATAAAGATCATAACAGATAAAACATATTACACTCAACAGAGAGCATAAAAAGATTAATCAGAAAGGAGGTCGAATGTATTCGCTTTTCTTTTAAATCAAGCTTTGTTTTATTTATCATCAAAACGCAACTGACTATGGAGAAAAGAAAATCCAAAAACATGATATGTAATTACAGATAACCCTTCATTTTTACATATATTACAATATGCTTACATCACAAGAAGAAAATAACCTCAAACTATTCATGGCTCGTGCAAAAACCTCTGCAGGCATCTAAAACCAAGATATTCAGCACAAAACCTCTCCATCTCTTCACCACCTCTCTCCTTACATATCTCTTCCTCCATCTTTGCCACCATCTCATCCCAATCCCCCATAAACCTGCCACCACCACACCAATCATTGCCATCATTTCCGCATATCCCATCCACAATCTCCTGCAGCCCCACAATCCTATGGCTTACTTTCCTCCTTGCCTCTCTCAATGTTGGATCAATCCCAGGCACAGAGTCCAGCCTTAGAAGCAAACCCATCAAGGCCTCATTAATTCTAAGCTTCTCTCTTTCATCACTCCTGATGGCATCCACTGTCTCCTGCCGTTGGATTTTATGCTCAAGTTGATCAGCTTCAGAATTTACAGATGATATCTTTTTGTAGAGGGTGCGGATTATATGGGCCCTGTAGGCAGCCTGGATCTTGGCAGCAGCATCTGGTTGAGGGGGATGGTCAATTATGGTTACAAGAGGATCTTTGGAAGGGGAATTAATGGGGATTTCCTTGGTTTCCGTGGGGATAGTATGGTCATTATGAAAAGAGTAGCTTACTGTGGTGGTGGTGGAAAAGAATCTGAACTTGCAAGAAGGCTTCATGCCTGTTGAGATAGCAAGGGACAGGATGTGAAAATGTGAAATAAGAAATTGTTGGGTTTTGCAGTGATTGGTATCTGAAGAGATAAGTAAAATGTTAAACAAGATATTAATGGAGACTTCTAACAAAACAACTTAATACTTAAAATCAAAGTTTCATCCTTGGTTTTAATATTCGCATTTCCTCATCAAAATCTCCTCCTTCAATGCATTTTCCACAGTGTTAATTCTTTTCAAATCCAAGCAGTAAAAGGTAGAATTTTTTTCATACCTCAATTTTAAAATAGTAGCCAGTCTTTTAATAAGGTGATGTTGACATTGGACACTTGAGAATTCTCGAGATTGAGGTGATAATGCAAACTATGAACCAAAATAGTCACATATCTCTCAAACTCAGAATTAATTTATGGTTTGATCATTGCATGCTTCTGATCAATGGAAAGGTAAAACTGCTTGAAATTTACAGATTCTCAAGGAAGCTAAGTTGTAGCAATGAATAACTAACAGTATCTAGAAAGAAAATGGCTTCACATTCTAGAAAGAAATACTACACCTGGTTGATTGCTACTCTTTGTGCATTTTGAGAACAATCAAGATCTGCTGAAGCATCAATCCTGCCACCTCTCTGCAAAATGAATTGGATCCAAACTTTTAACCTTGAAACATAAAGGCAAAGACAGAATAAAATAGGATGTAGATTAACTTACAAAGCTGAAAGATAAAAATTATATAGAACAAAGTAACAAACCAATAATCCTTTCTCTTTCAGTTTATGTGAGCTCTACCATTATGATTAGACACGTTTAGAATCCTAAGGAAATGAGCAACTTTTCTTTTTCTTTTTCTTTTTCTTTTATAAGGCATATGAGTTTTAAGTGAAGGGGAAAGAAACAAAGAATAGTTGTTGAAGAAAAATGATTATTAGCAAACCACTTTTAACACTTGTTTGTGTCCTAAATGTTGGACATAAAGGAAAGAGAAAAGCAATGACACAGAGCTTAGCATAAAGAATGAATAAGTCGAAATTGTCCACTAAATCAGAAACTTTTGTGTGTTTCACTTTGTCTGGACATAACTTCCTGCTTCCTTTTCACCTTCGCTGATCTGATACTGACTACCATCAGAGCAATTTACCACATAAAATTTACTAAGATTGGTAGATATTTGATGCAGTCATTACTCTTAGACTGACTCACTGCAGTTCATATTTTACAATATTATTTTCCAATAAAAACCTAAGCATGCAAATCATTAGAAGCTTGAATAATAATTCTACTGCTAAAAAAGATCACTTCAATTAATAACTTAAAGGGAAACTCATACAAGTAAATTCTTCTGTATCAAGTTCTGGTCATGGATAATATACACCAGAATTAGGCGACGTGAAGTACTTTGAAGCTCATCCTAGTTTCAGGGGATGCCTAAAATCTTTACCTCCTTAAAAAGATCCAAAGAAGGAACCTTCCAAGAGAAAATTTTGATAATATCCAGTTCTGGGGAACTTTTTAGAACTCCATAATTGTCCTAAAGCTTAAATCAGCACAAATTGAGTACCAAGAAAAGCAAATTATGGACCAATTCCGTGAAATTACCAAATCAAACATCAGAAGAAAAACAGAGATCTAAAATCTGATCATTGGTTAACAAGAAAGAAACAGTACTCATTGGGTAAGTGCTGTAGAAATTGTCAACAAAGACTCAATGTTTTTTTTTAAGTTTTCAATATGCAAATTGTTACATATCTATGACAATTTGATAAAATTGAACGTAGTTTAAACTCAAAAATCAGATGGATAACAAAGAAAGGCATGAGATTTCTCACTTGCTAGTAGACAAAAACCATTAAGCAAACGAAACAACAGCTAAGTTGTCTTCTTCGTTGTTTGCTCTTTCAGTTTGAGCTCTCACCCTCTTCTTCTAACACCACACCACTGTTTCTATATCAATCAACGTCTGTCTCTCTCTCTCTCTCGAATCTACACCTGTAATAGTATAATGTATTTATCTTTTTAAAGCAGCTTTTTTATTTTTTTATTTTTCCTCTTCATAACTGTTTATTTTAAAAAAATGATAATGGGCTGGCCCACAAGCCCGGAAGGTTACCCTGAGAATTTGGTTCCAAGTCGCGGCACAAACCACATTTTTAATTTATATCAATTTATATTTAATTACTAAAGTTCAATTTAATCTCATTTTGAAGTAATGATTTCCTCCTGTTTCTTAAGCTTTCTTTCTAATTTCTTTGTTGCAAATGTTACTACATATGATAGTAAATCCTAGTAAATGTTCCATAATACTTCATTACAAAAAGCGTCAGTAAAATGTTTCTTCTTCTTAAAGGTCCAGATTTGGTAAATTGCTGTGACACCTACGTCAGGATTCAGGAGACCTTCCGGAAAATCAAGCTTCCTTTCTTGCTGATGTAGTGTGGCTATAAACTCCAAGTATCGCAAAACAAACGCATTATGACCCAAAACAATTTCTTTAAGATGCACCACGATGCTTATGAGGAGAGATCTTTTGCTCTTCCCTGATTTTTTTAGTGCTTGTCCCTTAGAAGGCTACAGAAAAAGAGCCCCATTGATGTGTTTCCAGCATGAAACTTGCAACATTTTCTTGTTCCAGCAGTCTTTTCATTAACATCAGTAAATTATGGCGTTTCAAGAGAATGTTTTCAGATCCTGAACTTTCTTTCTCAAATCTTAACTTTTAAACATTCCATAATAAATTTGAGTTGCAATCTTGCTATGGACTTACCCGTAACTCCCAGTACCAATAGTATCAGGACTATCGGGCTTCCAACGATCCTGTTCAGTAATTTCTTTAGCATAACTGATCTCATGACTCAATTTCAAGCTCTCATCAAGAGACTTTGTATCACTATATCCTCTGCTTGAATGGCTTCTTCTGCTAAACGAATGATCCATTGGCTTTCTTTTTAGATGAGATTTTCCTATTTCAGTTTCCTCCTCACTATGAGATTTCTCTTTCAAACTCTTAGCAGTTGTCCCTGCATCATCTGGAATTTCTAATTCAACTTGCCTTGAGCGTCTCCTTTTATGACTACCATGTCTTTTCTTGTCTAACCACTCATCATCAGAATCAGTATCACAAGTCCTGTGCTTATCATCCCAATAATCATCAGTGAACTTTGAGAAATTGCTCTGGTGTCTTGATGAGCTTTCCCTTGTGTTATGATGATGTCTGCGTTTCTCTCTATTTCTGTGGGACAAATCTTCTGTAGAATCAGTACCAAGAAGTAGTTCTCCAAGATCATCTGGCGACTGTACTTTGCTCTGGTGCCTTGAGCTTTTCCTGCTGAGACTTTGGTGTTTTTCTCTCTCTCTTTCTCTATCTGATTTATATTCATCTACTCGTTGAGATTCATCCTTCCTGTCGCTATTGACATCCTGCAATGCCTCTTTTTCTGTGTATTCTGAGCTTTTGGTGTGAGCATGGTGTGATCGTCTTTTTCTGCTCCCATCAGACAGTTCACTGGAATCGGCCTCATGGATCCTATAATTTCTCTTATCACCAGACCAATCAGTGGGGTGTTCTGATGTTTTACCATGGTCTTTAGACATTTTTCTCATACCACTGTGATGCTTATCTCGTTTTCTGCCTCTATTAAAGTCCCTGTCTGACCAACCTCCATCAGAATTAGAATCATAGCTTCGGCGCTCATGATAATAATGATCCTCTTTGCATGATTTTTCATTAAAGATTCTATTTGGTTTCTGACCATCATCTGTGTGCCAGTGCCGGTGGGTGCCTTCTTGAATATCATCTTCATCATCACTAGTCTTACCAGAACAAGGAAGCAAGTGATCTATGTCTCTGGATCTAGACCTTGCACGAAGCCTGAACAAAAAATTAGAAACTCTGAGCCAAGAAAAAAGAATGATAATAGAAGAAAAGATATGCTTAACCATTTGCATGTTTGTGCATGGATACATGTGCCTTTAAAGGCTAAACAGGAAAAGTGAGGAAGAAAGCAAAATGAAACTACTTTTCTGCATATAATCAACAATGCAGAGTATGGAAAACCTTGAGTTTTCATCAACACATTATATGACTCTAAAAGCACAAATGGGTCTCGAACCACAAAAATAAAACCCTTGCAATATATTTTTAACATAAAAGGAATGTATAAAATGCAAACTTAACAAATATATATCAAAAAAAAAAAAAAAAAAAAAAAATTGTCTTAACATTTTCTTTGTTTTTCCTATGTGCTAGGTTTCTTTTTTTCATTTTTAATTATCTATCTAGTGTTTATAATTTTTATTGTGTCTGTGTTTTCCATATTTGAGATATGTTTCTAGATCTCTGAACTTTTTCTTTTTTCTTCTATATTTATTTCTTTTATACTTTTTTTTTAAACACTTTTTTCTTTTTCCATTATATTTATAATTTTGAGTTTTTGTGTCAATTTCTTATGCTTATTTGGATTTACTCCTGTTTATTTTACTCCAGTATTCCTTTAATAGTATTCAGTTGTTATCTTTATCTGGTGGTCTTTCTTCATTTTTACTTTGTATCCTTGTTTTCATATTGTTTTATAATTCTTTAGCATAACTGATCTCATGACTTCAATTTCAAGCTCTCATCAAGAGTACCTTTTTGTTTTATCACACTTAGTTATATTTCCTTCTTCTTTTGAATTTATGGTGTTGCTTCTTCTCTTGCTAAACGATTTATGATTTTTTTTCCATCTGGCTCTTTTTCTTTTAGATTGAGTATTTTTTTCCTTTTATTTTCAATCAGGTTTTTCTCCTTCACTATGAGATTTTTCTCTTTCAAAAATCTTTTCTTTATGCAGTGTTCTCCTTGCTTATCTCTGGATTATTCTAATTTCTCATATTCTTTGCTTCTTTTTTGGTATGTCGTGTCTTCTCTTTTATTGTGTATTTCTTTATTTCCTATGTCTTTTTTCTTGTTTTCTATACTCTATCTCATTTATCTTATTTCAGATTTTATTTCTTTAGTATCATCATTAGTCTCTTGTTCGTGTGTCTTTTATTTCTTATTCGCTCTTTTTTTTATTTTATTATTTTTATGCCTATTTTCTATTGTTGTGAACTTTGATGTATATTATTTGCTTTCTTGGTTTTTGTCTTTGTTTGTAGCTTTTCCCTTCTTGTTTGTTTATTGTAGTTTTTGATGCTGCGTTTCTCTCTATTTCTGTGCGGACAATCTTCTGTAGAATCAATACCAATTGTGATTAGTAGTTTCTTCCTTATTAGTTTTATCATTTCGTGTTGCGGTGTATCTTTTTGTACTTTTTGCTTTTTTTGTCCTTTTGAGCTCTTTTCCTGCTTGTATTATTTCTTTTGTGGTGTTTTTCTTCTCTTCTCTTTTTCTTTCCTATTCTTTGATTTTTATATTTTCATTTTTTTTTTTTTTTTTTTTTTTTTCTACTTTCGTTTGACTCGATTTCATCTCTTTCTCTGTCTCTTTTTTATCATCCTTTGCAATTCCCTTCTTTTCTGTGTTTTTTCTGTATGTTTCGTTCTTTTTTGTTTTGTGTTTTTTTTTTTTTTTTTTTTTTTTTTTTTTTTTTTTTTCTTTTTTTTTTTTTTTTTTTTTTTTTTTTTTTTTTTTTTTTTTTTTTTTTTTGTTTTTTTTTTTTTTTTTTTTTTTTTTTTTTTTTTTTTTTTTTTTTTTTCGTGTAGTCATTTGTGTTTTTTGATCGTGTTTCTTTGTTCTGCTTCTCCATCCAGACTATGTTTTTTCTACTTGGTGTATTTCTTGCCTCTTATGTGTGTATTTCTCCTATATATTTCTTTTTTTATTCACCTAGATCTATTCAGTTGGGTTTTGTTTTCTGTTATTGTTTTCTTTTTTTTTATTCCTTTTTTATTGGTTTTTCTTTATGATCTTTTTTTTTTTCTCATATCCTCATCTTGTTTTGATTTTTGTTTTTTTTTTATTTTCTTTCTTTTTCTGTCCTCTATTAAATGTCCCTTGTGTGTTTTCTTCTTGTACCTATATCCTCCATCTTGGAGTATTTATTTTTTTATTGGATATTTCATTTTTATGTTTCTTTCGTTCGCTCATGATTTTTTATTTTATATATGTAATCTTTTTTTCTTTGTCTATCGTATTTTTCATTTTTTTATTTATATGTATCTTTCTTATTTTTGTGTTTCTTGTATCCATTCATACTTCTGTTGTGCTTCTTATTTGTGTTTCATTTTGTGAGGTGCCCTTCTTGAAATTATCATCTTCATCATCACTAGTACTGTAACCAGAAACAAGGAAGCAAGTTATTCTATTGTTTTCTTCTTTGGTATTCTTTTTATTACCTTTTTGCTTTTTTACGATAGTCTTTTTGTAACAAAAATTATTTTAGAATACTTCTTTGATGCCAATTTGTATTTATAAATTTTATTTGTATTATGTGTATTTATATTTATTGATAGATTTTATAATGATTATGTGTTCTTATATCCATTTTGTCTTTATGTTTGTTTTGCAATTGTTTTTGATATCATGTTTTGCCTTTATATTATGGCTAAATTCATGTTTGATTATAAGTGTGTATATGGTTATTTATGATTTAGCTCAAATATATTATATTTTTTACTACTTTTTTCTGTCATTATTATTTTATTCATATTCCAATTCTATGAGTATGTGATTAATTACCTTGAGTTTTTCATCAAACAAACATTATATGACTCTAAAAGCACAAATGGATTTCTTTCGAACTTCACAAAATAAAAATCCCTTTTTGCTATTTGATCATTTTTTTTAATTACAATAAAGAATGTTAAAAATGACAAACTTACAAATTTTTTTATATATCAAAAAAAAAAAAAAAAAAAAAACAAAGAAAGCTTAACTGAAATCTTATATGTGTAATTCGCATATTTTGTTACAATCTTTGGAATATTCAATTTATCTTGTAAAAATACCATATGTATTACAACCACCATATGTCTTTTCAATCTTATATATATTATTGCGTGCGTTAAGATATAGAAGCCCTAGAACACAAATAGAATGAAATGATAGAGATAAGGAATGACTAAACTAGATTTCAGGAATATGAGCCATATTTTGATCCAATTGCGAGAAGTAAGAGTTTTTTTTATTTATTCCTTGTTTCTTTGTTATGTATATTGTGTCATTTTTTATCTGCTTATGGTACGATCACTTTCATTTTTCTGCCTCATATATTTTCTTGCTCTATTCTTTTTTCTTTCTATATTTTTAGATATTTTTCTATTGTTTTTATGTATGTTATTTACCTATAAATTTTATATTAAGCTAACTCATTTCTTTTTTCATTCTTCCAATATTCTAGGTTGGTGTTTTCTTTTTTTTTTTTTTCCCTATCCCAGGCAGCCATTTTCTATTATTTTCCCCTTATTCTTCTTTTGGATTTTATTCTTTGGATAACTATTTGGATTATATAAATTGGTCATAGCTTGTTCTCTTTACTGTGATGAGTGCATTCTGATATAATTGATTTGTGGATATTACATAATACCTGTTTAATTCATAGTGAATAATTTCCAAACATAAAATTAGCATTTTAATGATATTTTTTTTTTTTGTTTTACTTTATTTACTTTTGCGTTTTTTATCCTTATAAATTGAAATACTCTTTTTTATATAATCAAACTATAGAGTATTATTTTATCAGTGGTATTGTGTGTGTTGATAAACTCCCAATATGCTTTTATGTAATAGTAAGTTTTTATGGTGCTTGGATTAAAAGCAGAAAAAAAAAAAAAAAAAAAAAAAAGAGAAGCTTGAACTGAAATCTTAGGAACGCAATTGTACAATCTTGGAATCAATATCTTGTAAAAATACATAGGGAACAACCACCATAGTTTTCAACTAAAAAGGTGCGTAGATATAGAAGCCTAGAACACAATAGAATGAAATGATAGAAAGATAAGGATTACTAAACTAGATTTCAGGAATATGAGCCATATTTTGATCCATTGCGAGAAGTAAGAGTATACCTGTCTGTATTAGGTGGCATTTTACTGCTAGACATCCTCATCTGCTCAAATTTTTCTTGCTCCATCTTTTTCTCATATGTAGATTCATATGAGTAACCAAATAAAGCAACCATCTTTTTCACCCAATATCTAGGTGGTGGTTTATCCCAGTCAGCCCATTCATAGTCCCCACCTGGATTACGGAAACAGTGGATAAAATTGCAAGCTGTTCCACGAGAGCATGTCTGATAAGATGAAAACAAACCTGTTAATACAAGTGAACCAAAAAAAAGCATAAGAATTGTACTTATACTTTGGTTTTTACCTAAAATGAAAGACCTTATATAATCAAACTAAGAGAATTACAGAGGAAACCCCAAATGCAGTAAAGAAGTATGGCTTGGTAAAAGCAGAAAAAACATAAGTTAGCACACTGAACTGTACCTTGAGTCTTGACTTCATATATTCCCCACATATGGCAACCTTCCATCTCGTCACATTGACAAATTCGCATTTTACCTATCAAGAATCATGGAACCAATGCAATAATCTCAAAATATACAAATCTCTTCATAAACTATTGTGAAGTTCAACATGAACAATCCTTAGTTTCCAACATATCTGCTTAGTAGTATATTTTTGCCAATTAAAACCCCAAAAGCACTAGTTAGATTTTGAATGATATTTAGTACCTGTTTGCCAGCAAAGTAGCGACCATTGAGAGAATGATAAGCAAGTACAGCTGAATCCAGCGATTTATATTGCACATAAACATTCCCACGCAAGTGGAACGAACTATTTTTACAAACCTGCCATGGATATCAAATTTATTATTCCAAGAGAGAAGAAGTAGATGAGAGAGAAAGGAAGTGGAAAAAACCTTCAGACCTAAACCCAGTAACCATCAGTTCCTGTTAAAGATTCCTTTTCTTTTAAAAACAAAGGTTCTTGGGGGAAGGGGGAAGATGATGTGGAAAAAGAGGAGGGGGGGGATTAACTGTTAATGGTTTGAGATGAGAGAAGGGTAGAGAGCGAGAGATATCAGCTATATATCTCCTCTTGAAAGGTGAAATGTTATCTTCCTTCTCATTTGGCCCATATTTGTCCATTTTGTCAATCCACAAACTTGAAAAAACTTGTTGTTTAAATAAGTAAACCAAAAAGACAAGTTTTCGAATGGTAAAGGAAAGAAGATTCATGTATGTGTGACAAACATGTTATATAAATAATAGCCTAGTAAATAGAACAAAATGCAATATGCAAACCTTGAAATTCACGATTTCTCCAAACTTCAAGAACTCTGTATGCACATCCTCATAAAATTCTTCATAACAGCGGTCAACCTCTTCGTCCGTGTACTGGAAAGAAAAAGAAGAAAACGAAATCAAAAGCAATTTTTCTGTTGCATACAAATGCAAATGTACTACAACAGAACCAAATGATGAATCTCGCAACCATAGAACTTCAAGAAGCATAACAGAGAAGCAAATCCTGTACAAAATAAAAACAACTGCTAAATAAAAAAATATATTTCAAGATTGATCAGAAAGAAGCCAAGATAAGTAAATGCAAGGCACAAGATGACTTCTTCCCAAGCCATTAGACTAACAAAATTATGAAAGCCCAAATTATTGTTAAATGACGACCATCAGTTTGATATATCATCCCAAGTTTAAAAATTTAGGAAGAATTTCCACTTTTGCTGTCTTTATTATATACCATGGAGTAACATGTATTCTGTTCAAATTATTTAAGTAACAAATGTAAAACATATGTAAGCTCTTTCAGCTTTCCATTTCTCTTGACACATTCTAAAATCTGTAAAAATTTCAACTGCATAAACATACAAATACATTTTGCTGCCTCCAATCGGAATCCTTGAAGAGTAATGACTGTCATCAGGAACACGGCTCCATTGTCTCATCTATGCCCAACAAACTACTAATGGTTAAGGAGTCAAAACTCATGGAGAAATCAACATCCTAATTCAATTAACAAATGATTCCTAATCCAGAAATATCTCGAATGTGAATCTAAACCAGAAAATTTGCCACCAAAAAACTACAAACATGCTAATGAAAAGAAAGTCAAGATAGATAAAATTATATCAATTGCGACACATCATTAAAGCACATGTGGCACATTTCAAATCCATTGGAAGATACAAAAGAGGAGAATAGGAAAGGAAATATAACCACAAAGAAGTAATATATAAGACAAGGTTTAAAGAATTAAAAAAACAATTAATAGAAATCTTCAGTGATAACCACTCCCGTTTCTGGCAAGCAGGATACAGAGTAGCAAAAATCTTTTCTTCAACCAACTAATGCAAAAACCATGGACCTCCATCGAAGTAAATCTTGTGAGGAACCTCCAACTTAACTTAAGTCAAGCACAACAACAAAAAGCTTAAAGTAGGAAAAGAAAAAGGTAAAAATTAAGAAGAAAAAGTATGTGATCCAGGATTAAAATGAATGCATGCCATCGCATAAACTGCCAAGACAACAAAGATGCAGAAGTTCCAAACAATGCTGAAACTAATATTAAGCATAAGATTTTACCAACTGTAAATCTTAAAAAAAGGAGGAAATGCAACTGAAGGAAATATGAAAGTCATTTATTGTTTTGAGGAAGGATTTGGCTACAGAACAGATTTAAGTACATTTTTAAGTTGGTTAAAAACTTTTTGAGGGTATGCATTAGAATATTGAAGACATCATGTAATATCAGCAGAAAGCTCTTTCTCATTAAAAAGCGACATCAAGAACATAAAAAGTCATCTATGAAGCCTGTTATGAATCAATAATGCATGCCAACCTTTCAACTCACCTTAGTTTATGAAATCCTCAAGTTTATTGATAGAATAGTTTTTTGACAAGAAATGACTGCTGGTGAAGTAATGTAATTGAATTCCAGATGTACTAAGCTTTTGTTAAAATTTAAATTTCTTTCTTACATGTGTAAGATTGTTTAAGATAACCCAATTTTTCTCAGCAGGCAGAAAATATAATTAGTGACTGATCTCAACAAGTAATAAACAAAAAAGAAAAAGACTAGTTTCTCATGATACTCCAACATTTCAGAAGTTTGCAAGATTTGAGATCAGGATACAAGACACATGAAGGCAGCATTTAACAGACCTCGAGCCCTTCATCTTGTTCCAAAGGAAGGCCAGGACCATTATACATGTTCTTCATTAGTAATGTACATGCCTTATCAGGATAAAAATGAACTCTGCTGCAGCGCTGGCCAAACCGACATGCACCAGTCTTTAAATGGAAGGGGCAATGAGCTTTATCCTGCCAAATACAGCTCAGAGAGTAGAATTAATACTCCTTAAGAATACTGAAGGGGGCTGCATGTTAATTCATAGAGACTAAGAAACAGTAACATGGATCAAGGCTACAGTGATAAATTAACCACCTGCTCAGTTCCAAAATTAGGTACTTGTTGAGCAACATTATCAAGCATCTGTTCAGCTGAAGCTATTGATGCATTTTGGTACTCAGCAAAAGCTTCAGATTGCGGAGGAAGTGGATTTGATGTAGGTCTATCAGAATTCTGCAAAGCAAATCAATACTTTCTGCAAATAAAATTTCTTCTAACCAAAAAAAAAAGAGAGGAAAACAAAGCTGAAAGTAGAAACTATTAAATTCTAATCTACAGAGAGAAGTTGTTTCACCTCATTTGTACACTGTTGATCTGCTTTCTTCTTTGGAACCTTCACCTTTTTCTTCCGAACAATTATCTCATTTCCTTGCCAGATAATTTCTGCAGGCCCCTCTTCTACATATTCCCAATCATCATCCTCATCAAACTGGTTCTCCTTCTCAATCTGCCACATAAATGCATTTAAGTGGAAAGTATACATCATTATAACAACATATTTCAATTCCGTTTCTTTTCTCACTTTTGATGGGTCTCCAACACAAAAGGTTATATTGCATAGCACAGAGAGTGAGCATATCACATCAGAACCAAGGAGAGAACTATTTTTTCCATCTTTGCAAAACTTTCCAAGCAATTAAGCATACGCTCAACCAAAATATATCAAATCCAGTGTTTAATTCATAAGGGTAAAATACTGTGTAGAAAGATCATGCAATATAGATTCTAATGTCCCTAGGATAACAACTCTAATCTATTCAGTTCCCCCACAATCATCCCTAGTTTTATCAGTAATGCGTGTGCATAGCAAGTGAACAATTTGGCACACCCAAATGAATTCTATTGACATTTTCTCTCTGAAACACATTCTCTCAGCAGTCAACAAATATTATCAACTGATACATCACAAGCTTAAAGGTCATGCACATATTTATTCCCCAGGATGGAACAGTATTTTCTTTGCTGATATGATATACTTCTGCTGCTCGCTATTTTTAAGGTAAACTCGCAAGTACAAACAGACAAAGCCATTATATTTTATCACAACTGCAACCAATTCCACATTTTAAATGTATAAGTTCAAACCAACAGTCTAAATATAATATACTTCAGCAGAAAGTTGAAATGAGTTCTCAATACCAACCTTTGTCCCATGAATTCTCTCATCAACCAAACAGAAACAGAAATACAATGCAAAAACATGTTTCTCCTTCCCTTGCCTTTCCCAACAAAAAAAAATAATGCAACCCTAACAACAGCAATTAATTCAACCATTCAAAACTAATCAATTTAACTCTTGAGGCATTGAAATCAAAATTTTCAATGACATTCTTTCACCTTACTTCGTATCTACTTAAAAAGACAGAAAACAAAGAGATTAAAAAAAATTAGAAAAGAAACAAATAAATATTCCATCCCGGCAGCCAAACAAATGCCAAAATCACAACAGACAATACAATTATTAAAAATTCTCGTAAAAAAAAAAAATTATAAAATTCACATGAAAATTTAAAAAAAAAAAAAATCACCCATTATACCTGCAATCTCTTAGCTCTTTCCTCTACTTCCAAAGCTTTCCTTCTTTCCTCTTCTTCTTCTTCTTCTTGTTCTTCTTTCCTCTTTCTTTCCATATCTTCTAACCACTTTCTCTCTCGCTCCTCAAATTCCTTTCTCTCTTTCTCCATCCTTTGCCTCTCCTCTTCTTCCATCTCCATAGCTCTCCTCTGCTCCTCCGGATCGTTTAATTTCCTCTCCTCCTCTTCTCTCCTCTTCTCGGCCAGCTCTCTCCTTAATTGCTTCCTCTTTATCTTCTTTCTCTCCCTCCTCTTATCCTTCCTGTCCATCACCGCCGACTTCTGTTCTACTTTAACAATCGGATCCTCCATTAATCTACTTGGATTTTTCTCTGTTCTAGCCAGGGTTCATTGCGTCTGTGATTAATCTAGTTCATGTGTTTGCAGAGTGTACGAAAGATTTCTTCTCGAATTTTCAGGTGGTATTTTTTTTTTTTTTTTTTAGTTCATATTTTAAGTGTGCATTTACTGCTCAACCAAAAATATATCAAAATCCAGTGTTTAATTCATAAAGTGGTGTTAATATTTATTATTTTTTATTTTTTTTTAATTATGTTTTTTTTGTAGAAACGATCAATGTCAATATTTTATGATTTCTAATTTTTGTCTTCCTTTTTATGTATATACATTACGTCATATTCTATTTCTATTGTTCCTAAATCCATTCCTATTATTTCATTTCCCCTTTATTGTGGTTTTTTTATCAAAGGTAATAATGCTTGTTTTTTTTTTTTTTTTTTTTTTTTTTTTGTTTTTTTTTTTTTTTTTTGTTGGTCATTATGTTCTTAATTTTTTTTTTTTTTTTTTTCTTTCTTTTTGTTTTTTTTTTTTTCCAGTGAACAATTTGGCACAACCCAAATGAATTCTAATTGACATATTTCTCGGTGCTGAAACACATTCTACTCAAGCAGTCAAACAAATATTATCAACTGAATACATACCACAAAAGCTTCTAAGCTACATGCACATTATTATTCCCCCAGGAATGGAACAGTTTATCTTTCTTTGCTGTATTTTATTTTTGTATTTTTTCTTTTTTTTTTTTTTTTTATCATTCTGCTGTCTCTGTCTTATTTTTTATATTGGTAAACTCGCAAGTACAAAACAGAACAAAGCCTTATATTTTATCACAACTGCAACCACAAGTTACCACATTTTAAATGTATAAGGGTTTCAAACCAACAGTCTAAAAATATAATATACTTTCAGCAGAAAAGTTGAAATGAGTTCTCAATACCAAACTTTGTCCCTTTTTTTATGATTTTCTTCTTTATTCAACTCAAATTTCAGATATTTTACTAGTAATATTATTCTTAATGTCATATAAATCTTGTTTTCTTTTTCCTTTGCTTCTTTTTTTTCCTCTATAACTATATATTAATATTTTTTTGTTATTTTTATATTAATGCAACCTTTTTCTATTACTATACTAATGTCTATTATTTAATTTTTTCAACCATTTTCCTATATATACTATTTCTTATATTTTTATACTCTTTTATTTGGTGTCATTTTATTATATGTGTCAAAAATTTATCAATGAATTCTTTCACCTACTTCCGATTTCTCTTATTCTTAACATATAAAGACTAGAAATACGATATATGATGTATTATAATTTAATAATAATTTAGTTATAGTATATAATCAAATTTAATATTGCCATTCTCTGTTCAGTCTCTCTTTAAACATAATGCCTAAATCTACCTTACTAGTACTTTAATTTACCTATTTATTTTATATAAATTAATTTCTTTTCTTTTTTTTTTTTTTTTTTTTTTTTTTTTTCGTGCTTTTAAAATTATAATTATTTTATAAAAATTTTATTTTAAATTATTCATTGATTTTTAAATTTATATAAATAATATTAAAATATTTTATATCCCATTTTTTTATTTTATCCTTTGCTATATCTTCTTTGCTCTTTTCCTCTTACTTCCAAACTTTACTCTTCTTTCTTGGCTTTCTTTCTCTTTCTTTCTTTTTGTTTCTCTTTCCTCTTTCTTTTCCAATTATTTTTTCTTAATTCCACTTTTCTCTCTCGCTCCTCAAAATTCCTTTCTTCTCTTTCTCCATCTCTTATGCCTCTCCTCTTCTTCCAATCTCCATAGCTCGCCTTCTGCTCCTCCGGATCGTTTAATTTCCTCTCCTCCTTCCTTCTCTCCTCTTCTCGGCCAGTCTCTCTCCTAATTGCTTCCTCTTTTATCTTCTTTGTTCTCTTCCCTTCCTTTCTTTTTTTTATTTTCTTCTTTTTTCTCTGTGTTCCTTATTCTATTCCTTCTTTCGATCTTTTCTGTTTTCTTTACTTTTATCTAATTTTCTGGATTCTTCTTCTTCCTTATTTTTGTGAATCTATCTTGGATTGTTTCTCTCGTTCTAGCCAGCGGTTCATTGCAGTCTGTGATTAATCTTAGTTCATGTGTTTTGTGTCATTAGTTGTTATCTGAATGTATTTTTTTTTTCATCTGTGGCTCTTCAGTGTTGTCCTACCTTTTTTTTTTTTTTTTGTTTTTTTTATTTTCATACTACACCAGACCCGGCACCGCTCCTTCCTATCCTTGCGCGCCCCACCCTCTCACCGTCACTCTATTTATTTTAATCACACGTTCCCGCTTCCGCCTATTGTTTATTAGTATTCTTGGTTTTTTTTTGGTTTTTTTGTTTAGCTTTGTTGCTCGTTCCTGTGTGATTACGATTCATATGTGTAGGGGTTGTATTTGGTGTTTATGTTTTTTTGGTTTTTTTTTTGTTGCATGTTTTTCGTAAGTTCGATTTGGTCATCTCTATTTTTTTTTTTTTTTTTGTTGATTTATTTCAACAACAGAACGACGTCGTTCTATTTGGGCAACTCCTAGTCCTTAAAATGACACGTCGTTCATGTTAGACGGGGTTTTTGTAGCTCGTGCCGTCCGTGAACGACAAGTAGGGGTGTGTATGGTATGGTTTGGGGCAGTTCGAAGGCATTTTCACACCAAAACCTTTTTGTTTTTCAAAATTTATAATCCAAATTGTTTTTTCATAATAACTAAATTAAAGTAATTTATTTAACTTGATTTTTGATCCGATTTAATTTAACGGTTTGCGTTGAACAACGGACATCTCTAATTATAAGATTTAAATGTTATCCATCTAAATGCCACTTTAACATCACTTCGATATAAACAGAAAAGCGAGTGTAAAAGAGGAAACTTTCCTCTCCAAACGAAAGGAAACTATTGTTTTTTTTTAAATAAGAAAAAAGAAAAAAGAAAAAATTGAAAGAGGATAAGGAAAAGCTTTCCAAGTTAGCAAAAAGGCATTGAATAAGTTTTAATTTGTATGATACGATAAATTTCTGGGAATTATTACATAATATGTTTTAAAAATCATATGTAATTCATTTTCATTTGAAAGACAAAATCTTTATATTTGAATTGACTACCATTTTAGATTTAGGTTTTACAAAATTAGTAAATAATTGATTTTATAAATAAATAAAATTTTAATTTATATATAAATTCAATAAAATTTTGTAAATTTATTTACACTAAATGATCTCTTATAAATTGTACTGTACTATATCATATTGATCTGAATTATTAAAATTTATAATTTATGGTTCTTCTTTGTCAATATATCATATTGATCTGAATTATTAAAATTTATAATTTATGGTTCTTCTTTGTCAATATATCATATTGATCTGAATTATTAAAATTTATAATTTATGGTTCTTCTTTGTCAATATATCATATTGATCTGAATTATTAAAATTTATAATTTATGGTTCTTCTTTGTCAATTTTAGTATATAAGTATTTAACTGTTTGAATAATTTTTTATAAAATGTTAAAAATTAAATATTTTATGAATTAGCTTTTTATAAAATATTATTATAATTTTTATAAATTAATTAAAATAATATTATATTATCAAACATTATAAAAAATAATATTTAATATTTAAACCGATTAAAATCCTAAAAAGCTATTAAAAAATTATTGTGAA